TCAGTTGTGTAAAACAAGCTTAAAGTCCTACATTAGAAGACAGTTGAAGCCGGGCGTGGTGGTGCACACTTGTAATCCCAGCACTCTGGAGGCAGCGGCAGGAGGATCGGTGGGAGTTTGAGGCCGGCCTGGGCAACAAAGTGAGCTTGGCTGGGGATTTAGCTCAGTGGCACAGTGCCTGCCTGGCAAGAGTGAGGTTGTGAGTTCAATTCCCGGTATCGGGGGGAAAAAAAAAACCAAAAAAAAAAGGTGACCTCAAGGGCATCGTGAACTGCATAGCGAGACCCTGTCTCAAAAAGACAAAAAAAAAAAAATAAGAATTGAAGAAAGGGTAAAATTATAGGATTGGTTGGTGGTTCTCTTTCTTTCTCTTTCTTTTTCTTTCTTTCTTTCTTTCTTTCCTTTCTCTCTCCCCATCCTGCCCCTTTTCCTTTCTTTCTTTTTAATGGTCCCTAATCAAATACGGCTACAGCTTTATTTTTTTCCAGGCAGGTACTACTTTTCTGGGGGTACTGAGACTTGAACTCAGGACCTTATGTTTGCCAGGCAGGCGCTGTGCCGCTGAGCATGTCCCCAGCCTAGCTTTTTTAAAATAAGATTTTATTGGTACATTTTAGATGAATGATGATCATATTTTTCATAGAGAATTTGTACCTGTACATGATATAACTTGAGTCTTTTCCCATCCACCTACCCTCCCTGGAAACCCTCTTGTTTGTTTTTTGAAACAAGGTCTCACTATGTAGTTCACATTGACCTTGAACTTACTACATGGCTTAGGCTGACCTTGGAACTCACCTCAGCCTCCCAAGTGCTGCCAGCACAGGCATGTAGCACCACACCTGGCTTCTTTGTTTATTGTTATTTTTTCAGTTCTGGCAGGCCAACCTAGGACACTCTGCCACTGAGCTACATCCCCAGCCCTTTTTGGTTTTGAAACAGAGTCTTAATTAAGTTGCCCAGTCTAGCCTGTAATGTGACTCTCCTGCCTCAATCTCCCACGTAGCTGAGGCTATAGGTGTGCATGTGTGCCACCATGTCTGACCTAATTTGAGTTTTCTTAAATATTGTGTACCTGTCAGGTTATTAATCCAGTTTCAAAACTGTAGTGTTTGAAAATCTTATCTCCATGGGTTTTAAGTTGATAAGCTGATAACATTGAATGGTGCTTTTATGTTACAGGACCTTTGGAAACAGTGCAGAACAGCAAAGTTATACCTTTCAGCCTTTCCTTTCTCTGCCTCTTGTTGCCTGTTTGTCTTGAGGCAGGTTCCTGAGTCTCTTTGGAATCCCATGGCTTTAAAATTTTGTAGATGTGGAGCTGGGCATGGTGGCTCAAGCCTATATAATACTTGCAAGGAGGAGGCTGAGGCAGGAGGATTGCCACAAGTTGGAGGCCAGCCTGGGCTATACAGTGAGTTCAAGGCCAGCCTGAACTACATAGTGAGACCCTGTCTCACAAAACCAAAACAATTTTGTAGGTGTGGCATGGAACCTCTTATTTACAGCAGAAGGGATAATATGTAAGCAACTGATTCATTGAGCTCCTGTTTTCCAGGGGTGGAAACAGGCATAGGTTTAAATTTACTAGATTTGTGATCTTGATAAACTTTTTAGACTCTGTTTTCTCTTTCGTGAAATGAGGATAGTTGTTTCAGAGTAGTTATGAGGCTAGAATAAGTACATTAACGTGTGTAAAGTGTTCCTAGTGCCGGGCCCTGGAAGTCACTTAAGCAGGGGTAGTGACCAATGGTAATTTTTGTTGCTGAGGTGTAATTTGTTTCTCCATTAAGTATAGCAATGTGAGGGGAATTCACACACTACGCATGTGTGCAGTTTGCCATTAGTGAGGGCGGTCATCTTAAAGATAGTGTCTCTGCGTTGCTTCAGTTAACCACTCCTTACAGGAATAATGTCTTTTAAGTAGGTCATAAGATGTAGTGGAAAGGGACGGGGATGTAGCTCAGTGGCACAGCACCTGCCTGGCAAGGGCGAGGTCCTGAGTCCATTCCCAGTATCAAAAATAAAAAATAAAAAAAGATGTAGTGGGGTGAATTTGTTAGTGGAATTAAGAAGTTTTAGTTTTCAGGGGTTTTTCTTTTGTAATGTACCATCAATATTTTATAGTACTTTAGTTCTCAAATTGCATTTTTCTAATGAGGGGGTAGGAAATGCTGTGGAAATTAGGTAAAGCCATACGGGAGGATACAGTGTAAGGGAGGCCAATAGATTCATTTATATTAGATACATCTCATTTAGATAGGTCATGCAGTTGTGAACACACTTCGTGTCTATTTCACAGAATATTGTCTTCGTACAGTATAAAATTTCCTGCATAAACACAATGTTTTTTATATACACACGAGTTCCCCTGCAGTTTCAGTGCGTTTGCATCTGAGCTGAAGCTTTGGAGGTAGCACGTGTGAGCTGGGACGCACTGACCCCCCCCAACAAAGTCAGCTGCAGAGGCTCTCTACTTCCGGCGACCCCAGTGGGTCAGGAGCACTTGCCTGCCACAGTTCCTACCCCGTTCTTAGCCCGTTCTTACACAGTTCTTACCCCGCCCCAGTTCTTGCCATGGGGTTTGCTAGCTTGGGGCCCACTCTTTAACCTCTAGACTTACTTTCTCTTCTGTAAAATTGTGATGATCTGCCCTGTGTACCACAGGTTGATAAAATCAGTTGTGTCTTTAAAGAAAAATAAGTGTTTTGCAAGTTATAAAGCAGTTCTTAATTATAAATAGTGACTTCAGCATTTGCGAATGATCTAAGGGCGTTCTCCCCAGAGCTCTCCTCTGTAGGTTATCCAGTTGACAGAAGGGCTCAAGATTTCTGTTTAATACCGTGTATCTTCCAGAAGGTAGCATCTTTAAGGTTTTAGAAATGTTGAATGTTTCTCTGTAATGCGATAAAAGAATGTAATGAGTGCTTCTTCCTCAGTACACTTCCTCAGGAAGGGACATCTGTCCAGCTGTTCCTTTCCTCCCACCCTTCCACTCTTTCTTTCTGCCCTTACAGTAGTTTCCTGGCTTAGACTTTGGGACAGATAATCACAGACTTTTGCTGTGCAAAATTCTTACCTACAGATTGAACTTGGTGATAAGAGAATGACAGTAATTGTAAAATTAGGGCATCGTACACTAAAATTTCTATTTTCCCTAAAACGTAAACACCAACCTTCTCAGTGGGGAGTTCATGCCGCCCGAAGCTCCACGCTCATCTCTCGTGGCTCTGGGTGCTCCTGGAGTGAGCGGGAGGCTGTCCAGGTCTCGAGTTTCAGGTGTTTCAGGCCGGAGCGCTGGTGCCTGGCGTCCTGTTTCCATTCTGTGGCTGTGCACTGGGAGTAGGTGAGAGGTCTGTGAGGAGCCTAGGGAGGGCGAGGAGGAGGAGAGGATCTCTTCACTTCGTTCTTGAACTTTTACCCCAGCGGCTAAATCCTCTGCCCTAGGAGCCACTGAAGATCCGGCCTGGGTAGAAACTGTCAGTTCATTAGTTGGTCTCAGGAAAGAACACTAATTCATATTTCAAAAGAAAAAAAAAAAGTCCTTTAAAAAGGTTTTTAAATAGCTTTCCAGTAGCTGTGCTTTTTACAGCATTTTGGTACATTTACAGGGGCTTTTGTTTTTGCAGTGCTGGGATTGAAACCCCTGTCCTCGTGCATGCTAGGCAAACTTCACTGAGCCACATTACACAAACATCCCCACGCCATGTTACAGATTCTTCAGTAGGCTTTGGAAGGCTAGGTTGAAGATGTAAGCTTTTTAGCATTGGCTGTGGAGAAACCTTTAAAATGTGAATAGCTTTCTTTTGGTGAGACAAGGTCTCACTGTGTAGTTCAAGCTGACCTTGAAGTTACTTTGTAGCCCAAGCTGGCCTCCACCCCAGCCTGCTGAGCTCAGACATCCTCCTGCCTCAGCCTCCTGAGTGCTGGGATTATAGGTGTGTGCTGCCACTCTTGGCTGTGAATAGTCCTCTTTTTTTTTTTTTTTTTGGTACCAGCAATCAATCTCAGGACCTTGCACTTGCCAGGCAGGTGCTTGTGCCGCTGAGCTATTTCCCTGGCCCCTGGCTGTGAATAGCATTTTTAAGTGTACACCAATTTGCAAAGCTTTGAAGATGAAGGTCAAGTCCGTCTGGAAGATGTTAACAGTTTTCTTCTATTCCTTTTTCTTAGGGGCATAGAAAGTAGAATTAAAATACGCACTCAGAGAAAGTGTGAGCCCTCCAGAGAGGCAGTTTTAATTCTAAAATAATTTCAACTTTCTGGAATCAGTTAATCTGTCATTATGTTAAATGAGCAGTGCTGTTTATCCAGACCCTGGGGGGAGAAGATCAGCATAAAAGCATCCCTGAGCTGGGAAGTGGGGGCGGGGGCACACCTGTAACCCCAGCTGGCAGGGACGCTGAGGAGAGGACTGCAAGCTTGCGTGCACTCAACCGGGGCAGTTCAGTGAGTTAGTGAGAGCCTGTCTCAAAACAAAAAATTTTAAAGGAAGAAAATGTAGGGATGTAGCTCAGTGTGAAGGTCCTGGGTTCCATTCCCGGAAATGCAGGGGAAAACAAACAGCAGTCGTCGTACTTGAGAACTTCTCCACCCTGGGTGCTGAGGAGGCCGGGAAGCAGCACGGGGCCACGAGTGTGTGAGCAGCGGGGCAGAGTGAGGAAGCTTGCTGGGAGCCTGGGGAGGCCCTGGGGCCGCGCCCTGAGCTCCTGGGCGGGTGGGGGCTCGAAGGGTGTTGCTGTTTGTGGGAGAGCTGCAGACAGCGGGGGCACTGTGGGGAGAAGCACAGCACACCCGACGCGGTGTGGTGGTGGGCTGGCGGGCTCGTTGGCGCCGCGAGGCTAGAAGGCGTTGTCTGTGCCTGTGGCCGTGGCCGGCGGCGTACGAGCAGCTGGCGTAGCCCTGTAGACGATGCGGAGGTGGTGTGGCGAGTAAACGTGGAGTGCTTGTGCTCTGAAAGTACCCAATACTGTCGTTAGCCCGTTCTCCTTCTTCCGCAGGTAGAAAACCGGAAGCAGAGGAGTTGAGTGGAGATGCTTCTGTGGAGGACGATGCTTCCGTCAAGGTAAAGTGTCGTTACTCAGGTTAAGGTGCCGAGGCCCACTGCTTTGACCTCCTGAGTCCTTGAATTTAACTTCAGTACATTGAAATATGTGGTTAAGTGCTAGGACTTAGAGCATACGGCCAGCTTCATTAACTTCCACCACCGAGAAGTACGATAAACGACTGCTGCAGTTGGATGGGACGTAAAGCTACAAATAGTCTGTCCAGGCCTTTAAAATCTGAGACAAAGGTTGGGGAACAGCTACAGACAGTTGGTGTAGTCGTTACTGGACAGGGTGCCATCACGCAGAATATTGGTAGTTTTTTAATCTGCCCATTCCATTTAACTTTTGTACATAATATACAGAACTCAGATTAATGTAAGACCTTAAAATGGAAAAAGAAAATTACTGTTTAACGATCAAAGTGATAAACTTGTTCTGCCTTTTAAAGATAACTAAACCCTCCAAGCGTGGTGGCTCATACTGGTAATCCTAGCCCTTGGGAGGCTGAGGCAGGAGGATTGCTGCGAGTTTAAGGCCAGCCTGGATTACATAGTGAGTTCAAGGCCAGCCTGAACTGCATAGGGAGACCTTGTTTCATCAAATCAAAAATGATAGCTATGCCAGGAGGTTTTTTGGCTGAGAAGGAAGTACATCACAAATGACCAGCCAGAAAGCGAACGTGATGCTGACTGGGCCTGCGGCAGTCTCGTGTGCTGCAGGTGTCAGCAGGTCCATGTTCGCTGTAGCTGGCGTTTATTTTCATGGATGTTCTCTGTCCTGTGGAAGGTGCTGTGGTGGTTGGAGGTGTTGCTCACGGAGTGCTGCCCCTCACACGCTGTGTGTGTCCCACCCCATCTGTTGTCCTTTGCACCCTTGCTGTGCATGTCGCAGTGACTGGGTGCTTGTGTGCTCACCGGGAAGTCAGCGAGTGTCCCTCCACCCACCACTGTGCTCCTTCCTCGCTCTGAACCGCCCCCTCGTCACACCACAGAGCCTGCATGTGCACCGTTCACTCGGGCCAGGCCTGGCGAGAAGGGAGCATTTAGTTGAGCTCCCCTTGAAAGTAGATAACTTTAGGAAGTTTTTGCTCAGGGACCCAGTAAAATTAATGCCTGTGCTGGGCTTTGGGTCTGCTTTTTGAGCACCTCTAGTTTGGTGTTCTGGTTACCCCGTGGTGTGTCTTGCATTAGGTCTGCTCCTCCATTCTTACCTTGTACAGTGGTCTTCTCTAGTAAGTGAAGTTGCCCATAAGTTGGAAAAACATTGTGACTTCGTAAAAAATCCTACAATTTTCAAATGTCTTTGCGTTTTTCCCTTCATAAGAATGTTAGTCATTTTGAATGTCCCAAGGAGACTTCGTCTATCCGGAGAACGATACTACTGCTGTCCCTCGTCTGGGCAACCCGGGGTGCTTGTGTGTTACTAGTAAGTCTGCTCAGGGTGCCTGGGAAAACAGAGCAAAAGAACTTTCTGAAAGATGTTCTTTGAATACATTTTCAGTGTATGTGTTTTAACTGTCGAAGTGTCAGCATATGTATTTGATAAAAATTAGGCGGATTTATTTTTCTTGTTGCATTTTGGAATTTATGCAGCGGTGGTGGGTGTGCATCACCACCTACTGCCTGAGTATGTGAGTAGCATAGAATTTGTTCTGCAGGTGAAGGTGTGGCGTCCTGCCACAGTTGGCAGCTGAGAGCAGGGGCTCCCTCCGTGCTGCTGTCCCTCAGTCTCTCTGCCGCTGTTCTGTAGTCCTGTCGCTCTTCACTCCCAGCCTCTGGCCTGTCCGCGCCTGGGGGTGGCCAGACACAGTGCCCTGGCGCCACGCCCAAGCAGCTCGGACCTTCTCCCCTCCCTGGCGCCCTTGGGAGAGGCCCCGTCCCTCTGCAGTGCTGCCGCTGTGCTTTGCCCTTTCCAGTCCAGAAACCTTTTCTTAAAACTGCTAGGACCTGGATTTTTTGTGAGAATGCTGAAGGAATGTTCACTGTTTTCAGTTCTCTCTGCAGTCAGGGAAAGAAGAAACTAAGCAGACTGCTGCGTATGTTTGCACTGAATATCATATATTCACAAACATGGAAGGGCACAGACCTGCCTGCACAGAGCTAATCCCAAGCTGTGTTTTCCTGCCTCTTTTGCATAGTGGCCCAGTGACAAATTTCCAAGTACATTCCAATTAGTATTTGTGTATTTTTGTCAAGAACATTGATGAAGCTGTTAAGAATTCCTTACTAATGAGAAGTAAATTTCATGTTTTAACAGAAGACTTTTAGGAACTTTAAAGTTAAGTAAAACTATGATGCCTGTAATCCCAGCACTTGGGAGGCAGAGGCAGGAGGATTGCTGCGGAGTTCGAGGCCAGCCTGAACTGCATAGTAAACCCTGTCTCAAAAAGACCAAAAAAAAAAAAAAGAAAAACCACTATGGTGCATAATATGGTGATCATATATTATGGAGAGCTCCTAAGATAAGTACCGGTAAATGTTGGCTTCATAAATATTAAATAACTGGAACTTAAGAGTGTCTCTAACAGCAGCTCAGCTTGCATTTCAGTAGGAGAGATTGGAGAGTTCAGACTCATACTTTCATGATACTAGTGTTAGACTCTTTCTGTTCTTAAAGGCACAGGTAATATACAAGGTAAAACAGTTTAACTTGGGTATATCAAGATATGATCAAATTTGATACATTTAGAGATGTAAATTACCAAAAACATTTGGTGGATAGCCTACCCTATCTTGCCTCTAGTTGTACCAAATTTTCTTACCATTAAAAGGACTGTGAATTGGAGAATCAAGAGGCACATGAGCAAGATGAAAGTGACGAAATAAAGGATTCTGAAGAGTTTGGTGAAAATGAAGAAGAAAGTGTGCATTCCAAGGACTTACTTTCTGCTGAAGAGAACAAGAGAGCTCATGAATTAATAGAGGCAGAAGCAATAGAAGATATAGAAAAAGAGGACATCGAAAGTCAGGTCTTTAGCCAGTTTTGTTAAAACATGAACCAGATAAATTGTTTTAAATTATAAAAAGTATTTTTTCTAGTTCAATTTGGAAATCTCAGAATTTTTTTAAAAATTTTTTAAGTTGCTTATAAATTACTCAGAACCACTTAAGGTGACCTTTTAAAAGTTTTGCATATTTGACATACGTATACATTTTTATAATATTTATACCATAAGTTGCTGTTTATTCTGTATTCTGCTTTCACATGTCATGATCCACATGTTATGTGTAGCATAATTTAGTAGACTACTTTCTCTGTATCTAATAGCCATTGCTATAATTTTGAGTATTTAGATTTTTTGCTGTACCATGAACGAGTGTACCAATTTTACTCTGCTCTTGCCAGCATTATTTGGTGGCTGACCCCCTTCTTTTTATTATTTTAGGAAGTATAAAAAGCCACTTTAATCTGCCTTTATAAGTTTATTATCAAGGGTGGGAAATTACTTACGAAAGTTGAACTTCAAAGCAGTTAGTCAGGTCTGCTCTTTGAAGTAGACTGTTTGTTCTGCTTTGCAGTGTGTTAGCACATCTTAACAAGCCCAAAGGGTTAGGGAAGTCCGTGGTGTTGGGACTCACGCTTACAACACGTTCCTTCTACCTAGCCTAATGATTGAGAGGCTGGAGACTTTTCTAATTCCGTAGCATTTTTATATTGGCCTAAAAAATATAGTCTGAATTCTTGAGTATTAATTTAGTACCCACAGAATCAAAATATAAGGCAAATGATAATCAGGTAGAAGCGTAAAAGCATTCTCATGTTTCCCGGCCATTTTGTAAAGCAAAGCTGTTGTATACCCTTTCACTTAGGAAATTGAAGCTCAAGAAGGTGAAGATGATACCTTTCTAACAGCCCAAGTAAGTTGACGTTTAGTCCTACAAGTTGGATGTTGTGGGTGGGGGGGATCACTGAGAAAAGGAATCTCGTTTCGAAATCGTGATTGTGATTCCATAGAACAGCGTTACGTTCAATTCTGAGTTACTTTTGTGGTATATGCAAATATTTAAACTGTTGGCTGCTGAAATTTCTTTTGCCAGGAAGGTAATTGGGAGTTACAAGGTTCTTGTCGTTTTTCAAGACTGAACATCTGTCCTTTCTATAAACCAGCAGTCTTTTAAGATGTTATAATCACCTTGCTATCTTGGTACTATATAATATATATAATTTTTAGCTGTTTTCACAGCTTTATTTGGTTTGGTTCTCTTTTTTTTCCGGGGACAGGGTGTCACACACGGTTCAGGCTGGCCTTGAACTCATGGTGGTCCTCCTGCCTCAGTCTCCTGAGTCCTGGGATTGTAGGTGTGCGCCATCACGCCCAGCCCAAAGCTTTATTTAAACTATGATTAATTCTAACATTACTAGGCTGAGTTTTAGAATAAGAATGATTGGCTACACTAGAGGCTGGTAAAATTTATTTGGTATATGTGATATTCATAGTGAATATTTTAAGCATGACTTACATTTGCTGTAAACATTTATAACTCAAAATTTGTGGGGTTTTTATTGTTGAGACAGGGTCTTGCTTGTACCGCAGGCTAGCCTCACACTTACGGCAATCCTCCTGCTTCAGCCTAGCAAGTGCTGGGATTACAGGTGTGAGCCACGTGCCCAGCATCAAAATCTGCAATTTTAAAAAACGGTTTTTTGTTGTTTTCTTATTTCTGTTAAGATTCCCTTGTTCATGTGCCCTCTTCAAAGTGCTGTACTTTGAAACAAGTTCTCTCGTTTACTAGTTTTCGTGAAGCTAGTGACTAAGCCTGTTTCCGTACTGCCCACCTCACTCACGCTCTCACGCGCTCCCGCCTTGTTTGCTGGTCAGCCACAGGTGCCAGGAGCTTTTGCCTTCCAGGTCTTTGCAGTGGAGAAGCAACGTTTCTGGAAGAAATGTTCGGATCATTTCAGATGTTCAGGAGGAAATACCAGCACTATGAAAGTCTGCAGGGCTGTCCCTGAGTGCACTGATTTTTGTTGTCGTTAGGAAGAGTTAACATTGGGAGAGTGCTTTTCTTAATTACCCATTTGCAAAAAAGGAGACTTGAGTTCTTCAGACCCTTTTGGCAAGGACCTTTCTAAGTCCCATTAAGGGCCACTCCTACTCCTGTGAAGGTCATGAGCTGTGTGACAGCATCTTACCCAAGGGTCCTTGTGTTGTATTTTTTTTTTGGTACCGGGAATCGAACTTGGGACCTTGCGCTTACCAGGTAGGCGCTTGTGCCGCTGAGCTATATCCCTGGCCTGGGTCCTTGTATTTTAAATGATGAAAATAAGTATTTTAAGTAGATACCTTTAAGTAGAATTTAAGTAGAATTACCTTTTTCCTCCTATAAAATGTAGAATTTAAGTAGAATTACCTTTTTCCTCCTATAAAATGTAGAATTGAAATAGAATTACCTTTTTCCTCCTATAAAATGTGTCGTAGAAATACAAATGATCTGGATTCAACCATTGATCTTACGCTTCTTTTGTTTTGTTCTTTTTCTCAACTTTTTTTTTTTGAGTACTGGGAATCGAACTCGGGACCTTGTGCTTGCCATGCAGGCACTTGTACCACTGAGCTATATCTCTGGCCCTGTTCTGTCTTTTGAGACAGTCTCCCTATGTAGTTGAGGCTGGCCTTGAACTTGTGGCAGTCCTCTTGCCTGAGCGTCCTCAGTGCTGTGATTATAGGCCTGTGCCACCCAGCCCTGGTCTCAGGCTTCTGAGTATGCTCTCTGAACGGCCTCCTGTGTGCACTGAGGGCCAGTGTGGGATGTGCAGCCGAGGCCAGTAAAGCCAGTCTTGGCCTCTGTTCCTCCATTCTGTTACTCCCTCCTGCCGTATTTTGAAACAACGTCGGCATGTTTCCCTCCCTGTCACAATTGCAGAGTATTATCTCTAAAAGAGAGCTTGAGTATTTTTACATTATCAATTCTAATATACAAATGTTAATATCATTAGGTGCATGCTTGGTATTTATTTTATTTTTTTACAGTTTTTAAATGTTGAGTCAACTTCTGGGCTTTTATTTTATTATTATTGTTGTTGTTGCTTTTGAGGCAGGGTCTTGCTTTGCAGTTCAGGCTGGCCTCAAACTCACAACGATCCTCCTGCCTCAGCCTCCTAAGTGCTGGGATTACAAGGGTGCATGACCACGCTCAGCTTGGGCTTTTATTTTAAAAAGGGTCTCACTGTAATTCAGGCTGCCTTGAACTCACTACATAGCCTAGACTGGCTTCAAACTCACGGTGATCCTCCTGTCTCAGCCTCCCAAGTGCTGGGATTACAGGCGTGCGCCACCACGCCCGGCCTAGCTCTCTTTTTAACCTGTAAGTTTTCCTCTCTATTTTATGTTCTTCTTCTGTTGATGGTTTATCTGATAGAATATGGTTTGGCAGAGTTTTCCCTAAAAGGCCAGGTAGTAAATGCTGCAGCCTTTCTGGGTCACCTGGTCTTTGTCATAACTGCTCAGCTCTGCCATTGAGCGTGAAAGCGCCCCTTGGTGATCTGGAAGTGAGTAGACATGACTGTGCCCCAGTAGAAACATTTCTAAGAGCAGGCGGGCATCTGCTGTAGTTTGCCACTGCGCTGTGATTTCCAGAGTTCACATTTCCCTGATCACAGTTTTGTTGTGTCTTTCAGCATGTTCCTCTGTTTACTGCAGGACCCATAGGCTTGCTGTCGGACCCAGGAAGGACTGCATCCCACTGCACTACACACACGCAGCCCTCTCCTGGGCACTGTGAGGTGCTTCCATTTGGCTGTGCTCAGTCGCTAGTGTGCTGGGAGGGTGCTGACACTCCAGTCCATCGTTCATTTCTCCACTAGCTGGGCTGTTTCTACAAGACAAACTCCGTCTCTTTGGTTACCAGTAATACAGATTATGAAAGAAAGCCCAAGCCAGGCACAGTGGCACAGGCCTATAATCCCAGCTCTAGGGAAGCTGAGGCAGGAGGATTGTGAGCTTGAGCCCAACTTGGACTAAATAGTAAGACTCTTGTCTTAGAATAAAAACCACAAAGGAGAGTGAGACTACATGAATACAAGTGTGAATCTTTTTTTAATGCCAAATTTTCATGAGTTGGTTCACTAGCAGTTCCAACAGTGATCACTGAGGTGGTTTTCTTTTTTCTTTCCTTTTTTTTTTGTGGTTTTTGTTTTGAAACAGGACTACATTTTGCACTCTAGGCTGACCTTGAACTCACTTTATATCCCAGGATGGTCTTGAACTTGCCAGGATCCTGCCCCAGCCTCCCAAGTGCTGGGATTATAGGTGTGGGCTATCACAGCCAGCAATCATTGAATTTTTAATTTTCTTTTTTTCTCCTAGTTTCACTTGGAAATCATGGATTGGATATATTGAATGTATATTTCATGTTCATTTAATCATCTTTAGCTAATGACAGCCTCTTTAGGTTGGGTGTTGACTCCTTTCAGTATGATTTTTAGGTAGTCTGGTTGATTCCTTTGACTTCTGGAATGTAAAGTTGTTCCATTTTCCTGCTGCAAACCTGCTGTAGCCATTTCTTCCTTTTAGTGATAAGCAGTGTTTCGCAGCAGTCTGTGTGTGGTGGTGGTTATGGCTGCTGAGCTCCCTGTTTCTGGGCCTTTTCAGCATACATGGCAGGAGAATGTGTTGGAGTTTTGCTTTGTTTCTGTTTGCTCTTACTTGTTTTTTTTTCTGGTACCTGGAATCGGACTCATGACCTCACGCTTGCCAGGCAGGCGCTATGCTGCTGAGCTAAATCCCCAGCTCCTGCTCTTACTTTTAAGATTAAATCAATTTTTAGCCAGGTGTGGTGGTATACCACAGAGTCTGAGGCAGGAGGACAGTTGCAAGTTCAAGGCCAACCTGGGCTACGTAGTGAGTTCAAGGCTGCCCTGAGCTACATAGTGAGACCCTGTCTCAAAAGAAAAAAAATCAATTTTTGTTATGTGAATACTTCCAAGTTAATGATTTCCTTGTATCTCACAGTACATACATTCATATGCAGTAATCTCAGGGTGATAATATCACTACTCGCCAGTGTGATTACTGAAAATAATTTAGGACTTTTTTTTTTTGGTACTGGGAATGAAACTCAGGACCTTGTTCTTGCCAGGCAGGAACTTGTGCTGCTGAGCTAAATCCCCAGCCCAGTTCTGCTCTGTTTGGTTGTATCACCATTATTTAGGTTGATTTGCGCATTTTGATTGATTGATTGATTGTCTTTTAGAGACAGGATCTCGCTATGCAGTTCAAGCTGGCCTTGAGCGCACTTTGTTACCTGGGTGGTCTCGGACTCGCAAGGATCCTCCTGCCTCAGCCTCCTGAGTGCTGGGATTACAGGCGTGCGCCACCACGCCTGGCTCATTGCTCATTTATTTTTGAGGGTTTTTTGGCTCATTTATTTTTAGGACTTAAACGTTGCTTTAAAATACTTGACCTGCAGCTGGGCGTGGTGGCGCACACTTGTAATACCAGGACTCCTGGTAGGCTGAGGCACTAGTTCGAGGCCAGCCTGGGCTACAGAGTGAGCTCAAAGCCAACCTGAACTGCATAGTGAGACCCTGTCACAAAAAGACCAAAAAATATATAATCTGGAACTTGTAAATTTATAATTATTTCAAAGTAAGTGTTAGCAATTGTATCCGAATTTTATAAATATTTAAAATATTTACCTGATTCCAAAGTCAAAATTTTGTGACATCATACCCCTAAGTTTCCTTCACCCAGTTTCCTGCCATCCCTTTATTAATCACCACCTTCAAAAGTCATGATTTATTCTTCAGGCATTCACCTCTGAGCAGTGTATTATACTAGGTAGAACTTGACTCAGATTCTGTTCTATTAGTTTAATTATGATATTGTGACTTCAGGCAGGTTTTCTTAGTTTCTATGTCTATAAAATGAAAATTATAAGTCATACCTTGCTAGACTGGTATACAGAGGAATGCCAGATCCTAGAACATAGAACATGTGCAGTTAGTGGTTACTTGTGCTCTTTTTATTTTTTATTTTTTAATTTTTATTTATTTATTTTTTTTTACAAGTTTAAAGATACCAGTTACTTGATTTTATGAACTTTTTTTCCCTAAAATGTTTTTGTTTGCTAGTGCTTTAATTCTTAAACATTTCCTTTGGTTTTCAAAAACCTCTTCAGACTTCTGTGATTACGTCATGTGGATTTCTTTTTCTCTATACCTTTGTTCCTAATGTCTCATTAACCTGAAGTTCAGGCTGGCCTTAAACTCACTACCTAGCCCAGCTGGCACTGCACATTTGATCCTCCTGCCTCAGCCTTCTCCCTGGGCTCACAGGTGTGCGCCACCCCTCCCGGCTGAGCTCTGTGTATCTTGAAAAGCAGGTTTGTATCTCCTGCAGAAAGCTTTCCTGACTGCCTCTGTCCTGTGGAATGCTGTACTTACTGATCACAGCACTTGGCCTGCCCACCGCCTTCTTAACCCTTGGTGCATTTTACGTCACACCTCATCTGTTTTATCAGTGAAGCTTGTGTAGGTAATGGCAAACCGCACAGAGGGACCGCTCACCTTTAGAGACCAGCACCAAACTGCAGCCCAACCCACTTACTTAGCAAAAGGCACCTGGAAACTGACTAGTTTAGCAAAAACAACTCAGACATTAATTAACATCTTTTGTCCTAAAAGAAAAACTAGTAGCACCCACGTCACAGGTTCACCACCCCTGCCCTGAGGTAAAGCTGCTTCTCAGGTGGAGACAGGATGAGGGCCTGGGGCTCGAGATGCGGCGGCTGCTCCCTAGTCTGACCCCCGAGCGAGGAGCTCTGTGAGGCTCTTGCGCTCACACGGTGCTGAGGCTGACCTGCAGAGGACCAGTGCCTTGCGCTGCATTCACGAGGTGAACTCGTCTCTCGGGTACTTGAGCGCTTTCCGTGTGCCACGTAGTTTGTATTTCTCCCGGTGTTCTGCGTGTTGCCAGGTAGAAGGCGGTTACTGGCTTGTGGTTATGTTAGGGATCGATTCAGTCAGCCTGAGCGCCGCGTCTGTACAAGGGGAAGGAGGTTTCCTTGACCCCGGCATGTTCTGTGTCACAGGCTCAGTGTGGAGAAGGGCGGTAGGGTGAGCGTGCGGTGGACACGCGCTTAGGTGGGAGGTGGAGCGCTGGGCTGGACTCTGAGTAGTCGTTGCCGCCCCAGCTCCGTGAAAGCACAGAGGAGCTTTGTGTTGTCGTTGAGCCTTGGACTGCAGGCTGTAGATCCCACGGAGACAGGAGCAGCGTGAGCCTAGACCTTTTCACGTGTGCAGTGTTCTGTTTTTTCAAGGTAAAAGCAAAAGTTGCTAATTTAAAGGAATCTATGCACTGAATTATTTTCAGTAGATGGCGGAGCTGTACATACGTATTATTTAAGCAAAAGGCCGTCCCGATGTCTTCCCTGACCTTGCCTTGTTTCCTGTTACAAGGGATCTGAGGCTTGTTCAGGGCCTCGGCTCACCGTCAGTGCTGTGCTCACTGCGCAGGCAGCACGGTGACGTGAGTGTGCACTGGTGTGACTCATCTTCCCTGCAAACCCGCTGTTGTCACGTTTTTGCTGCCACGGTAATGGGTTTCATCTCTTTGGGGCTCAGGCCTTTTCCTCTGGGTGTTTAGGGCTAGGTAATAAGGACAGCGTAACCACTGTATGGAGAACCTTAGCTTCCAAAGATATGTTGAGTTATCATAAATATCTAAAAATTCTTGAGTATAGACAAGCCATGCCTAATATTGTAGCTACTAGAAATAACATTTTTAATTGGCATGAAGTACAACAGAAACAATTTTGTTTTTTACTTCATACTCTTTTTTTTTTTTTTTTTTTTTTTTTTTTTTTTTTTTGGTCTTTTTGAGACAGAGTCTTGCTATGCAGTTCAGGCTGACCTTGAGCTCACTTTGTAGCCCAGGCTGGCCTCAAACTCACAAGGATCTTCCTGCCTCAGCCTCCCCAGTGCTGGGATTATAGGCGTGCGCCACCATGCCTGGTCCACTTCATACTCTTCTAAAAGTTTTACTCTTTTTTTTAAATCTTTATGAGACAGGGTCATGCTACGCAGTTCAGGCTGGCCTTTGAGCTCACTTTGTAGCCCAGGCTGGTTTTGAACTTGCAGGGATCCGCCTGCCCCAGCCTCCTGAGTGCTGGGATGACAGGTGTGTGCCACCATGCCCAGCCAAGTTTTACTCTTATAAATAGCAGATCATTTGGATATTATTTTCTTGACCCTAATCTATATTGAAGTAGGGTGCTCTCAGAATAACAGGTAAGCCAGGGATATAGCTCAGTGGCACAGTGCCTGCCTGGCAAGGACAAGGTCCTGAGTTCCATTCCTGGTACCAAAAAAAAAAAAAATCGCAAGTAAATGAAGGGAAAGTCAAACTGTATTTAAAATTCTGCTTGTAAGGGCCTGGGGGTATAGCTCAGTGGCTTAAGTGCTTGCCTAGCAAGCCTGAGGTCATGAGTTCGATTCCCGGTACCAAAAAAAAAAAACAACTAAAATTCTGCTTGTAAGTAAGTATAAGTGTCCCCATTTACTTAACCTTTCAAGATAAATGGTAAACTAAGAGTTTGAAAGAAAAAAAGGTATCTAAAATTTAAGTATAACTCACCCTTGTCTGACTGCCACTGCAGAAATAAAAATGTTGTTTCTTTTCCAAATGTGGCAAATTAGAAGTGTGATTAAAATTTCAAGTACTGCTGTTTATTAAGAAATTCAAATAAATAAATACTTAAAAACTAAAAAAAAAATTCCAGGATGTGTGTGGTGGCGCGCACCTGTAATCCCAGCACTTGGGAGGGTGAGGCAGGAGGATTACTGCAAGTTCAAGACCATCCTGGGCTACAAAGTGAGTTCAAGGCTGCCCTGAACTGCATAGTGAAACCCTGTCTCAAAAAGACCAAGAAAAAAAATTGCCAGTGTGCAATACAGTGCACTTACGTGATGCGGTATTTGTTCTGCCACTGGTTATGGTGCGCTGGTTAGAGACGGCCTCACCTTCTCTGCCGTGGCTGGTGCTGCATGCCGGTTTCCCTCACGTTCCTTCAGTGTGTACAGCAGCAGTGGCGTACTTCCTGGGTGGGCACCTGCATGTTAGACCATTTTAAGTGATTTCTGGAAATGGGACTGCACTTAGAGAATTGGGGCACCTGGTAAGATACTTGTCACGTTAAGGAATTTGTGTTTTTGCAGGACTCTGGTACTGTGTTAGGAGATAGCAGTGCCTTTTGCAGTGTCACTGGCATTCACCCTCTTGCTGTCTCTCACTAGTGTGCTGATCCTCGAGGAAGAAGCTGCCCGCGCCCTGTGGGGTGGCAGCGCTGGCAGGCCCTGGCAGCTTGTGAGAGGCGTCTCTGCCGCGTTTTGCCTGGTGCTCTGCAGGCTCAGCCCTAGCAGGCCCACCAGCAGGTCTGATGAGCACTGCTCTGTGGCTTTGTACGCAGTGGTTCACGCTACCTGACCTGAAGCTGCTGCTGCTCCCTTTTCATTTTATTTTTATTTTTGGTTTTTTGAGGCAAGGTCTGTTTATGTAGCCCAGGCTGGCCTTAAGCTTGCAACCCCCACTGCTTCAGCACTCCTGAGTGCCGGGGTTACAGGTCTGGGCCACTGTGCCTGGCTCAGGTTCTATTTGAAAATTATAATTAAGAAGTAAAACATGCTCTGCCAGTGTGGTGGCACATACCTATCCCAACATTCTGGAGGCTGAGGCAAGACAATTGCTAAGAGTTTAAAGCCAGCCTGGGCAACCTAGTGGAGGTTAACACCTGCCTGGACTACAAAAAATAGGTTTAAAAAAAATAAAAAGTTTTTTAAATGTGAAAGAGCTGAGGATGTAGTTTAGTGGCAGAGTACTTGTTTAGCATGTGTAAGGCCCTTGATTCAATCCCCAGTACCGCCAAAAAAGAGAAACTAAAACATTCTGTAAATTTTTTTATTTTTAAGATTGTAGTACATGTGACACAGCACCTGCTTGGCAAGCGCAAGGCCCTCAGTTCAATTCCCAGTACCAAAAAAGAAAAGATTATAGTGCATATGACTTTATTATTCTTTATGGTGTCATTTGGGTGGTTAGGAACATCATGTCTGAAAGCAGTTGTGTGATTATGTAATTTTTTTTGCAGCATTTTCGTAATGCAGAAATTTTTTTTCCCCCTTTGTGGTACTCCTATTTCCAAGCTAGCATGTTGTATTGTGAAAATAACAAATACATTAAAATTCAGATCATTTTTAAATGACTGTGTTTCTTATTTTACAGGTGGTACAAATACTGTTTTTAAATTGAGTGGGGGGCTGGGGATTTAGCTCAGCGGCAAAAGCGCCTGCCTGGCAAGCGCAGGGTCGTGAGTTCGGTTCCTGGTACCGGAGAAAAACCAAAAAAATAAATAAATAAATAAATTGGGTGGCCACCAGTGTATATGTGATAACTGTGGATTCATTTTGAACAGATAAAAGGAATGACTAATTTAGCCTGGCACAGTGGAACACACCTGTAGTCCCAGCACCTGGCAGGTTAAGGTAGCAGGATCGCCTCAGTCCCAGCCTTGGCTAAATAGTGAGTTTGAGACCAGCCCAGAACTATACAGCGAGATGCTACCTCAGAATTAAAAAAGATTTCTGTATTTTGAAACTGACTGTTGCAGTAGTGATTGTTCTCTCTGACATGCTTAAGAGGGGAGATTTGTTGTTTTGGTTTGATTTTTTTTGTTTTGATTTTTTTGAGGCAGGATCTCACTGTTGTTCAGGCTGGTCTTAAAGTCTCTGAGGCAATCCTTCTGCCTCAGCCTCCTGAGTGCCCAGATTATAGGCCTGCACCACTGAACCCAGCTTTGCTGTTTTATTTATGTACATTCAAACCCTGGAAAGTATGTGTCTGCAGGTTATTACTTTCCTGATCCTTTTCTGATTAAGATGTGCTGAGGGCACCTGTGAACTGAGTGACATAAAATAACCAGGTCAGTCCTTTTATTGGCCGCTCTTGATATGAGCAAGATTTAAATATATGAATGAATTTTGAGTATTGAAACTGTTCCACTTTGTTGCTCTGGTCATGGACACCCTGCCTGTTCTCTAAAATTGTATTCTACCAGCCTTGTGCTAATGTATCTGTAATTTATTCGACTGTCCTATTTTTTATATTATTATTTTATATTAATATTTTTGTAATATTCTATATTTATTATTATTAGGGCATAATGAAATTATGCCCTAATTATATTATTAACTTATCCATGAGTTTAAATTCGCTGGTTTAATGGTATTAGTAAAGCTTAGTTTTACGTGAATTTATTTTACATTTGATTATTCTTTGAATTTCAGGACGGTGAGGAAGAGGAAAATGAGAAAGGTATGTTTGATGCTAAGTAGAGTGTAAACATTGCTGACTTAAAAAAGGAAATTATGTGAAAATAAAGCATTCCTTATTTTAAATCTTATTTTTAAATGCATTTATTTTTCAAATTTATCAGTTTAGTGAGTTAAGTTAGTATCTTGGTTTATTTTTCGGTTGAGTTTAATTTCCTTTTGAACACATCTGTTCTAACTGAATAGTACATATCAGTTACTGTAGTGAACATGCCGTTTAAAAATTTTATTTTCAAAGTGTCGTAGCGCATACGGTAAGTGGACTGTGTGCTTCGGACGGACACTGCAGTAACTCATACGTGCTGACTGGAGCCGTGCTGTGTGGCTCCTAACCCCAGTCCTAAACGCACTGCGTGGGCAGACTCTGACTTGTGCTCGCTGCTTTGAGGAACTGTCACACAGCCTCTGACAGGTGTGGCGCTGTGAGCGCTGTCCCAACCAGCAGTCACAAGGACACCAGTAGCAACACACGCAATCAGTGTGAGGTTGAGTTCTTGGACAGAAGTCACAGAATCCCACCTGGGACTGGAAAGGACATGAAGCAGGTTTCTGACCAAGGCAGAGGACAAGCCCAGACCCCGTGCTGAGTGCTGTGAAGCTGCTGACTGCGCGTCTCACAGGCCCGAGAGGCCTCTCAATTCATGGAAATGCAAAGCAACTTGGGAAACGATGATTGCAGGCTGACTGGACAGGACGAAGACTGGAGTGACCGATTTCAGGGACGCTGTGGAGCAGGAGCATCTCCAGTGCCTGTGGTAGCGGTTTTCTGTGCCGCTGTGGACTTCCCTGGAGTAGAAGAGTGAAAGTCACGGGTCCCCGGAAACTGAAGACCAACGATAGCCTCAGCTGCTGATCTTGCAGGAAGTCACTGTGGGAGCTCTGAAGGTCACAAGGGTTAAACCCGGGACCATGAAAACGTTGCACAACAAATCTGCATCCCTGGGAGGATCAAAATCATCCACCCACCACTCACTCATAACCAGAACTGAAGAGCGGCAATCTCCGGGATGGACCTGCGTGCTCACTATTGTTGTGTGATGTTTGTGTGTAGGGATCATTTCCCATGAAGAATAAGCGATCCCGGGTAAAGGATTGTTTACGGTAGTCAATGCCCTTGTGTTTCCCCTAACCTTCCATCAGTGCTAATAACTGGCTTTCTATTTTCTAGGTCCTATTCTAGGTTATGAGTATGAAATTGTTTAAACTTCTTGTTTTGCCATATTTATTCCTGTTAAATCCTCTTAGATATAGCAGGTTCTGGTGATGGTACACAAGAAGTATCTAAACCTCTTCCTTCAGAAGGGAACCTAGCTGAAGCTGGTCACACAGCTCCCGAAGAGATGGAAGCTAATGCGACTGTGAAAGAAGCTGAGGATGACAACATCTCGGTCACAATCCAGGCTGAAGACGCCATCACTCTGGATTTTGATGGTGATGACCTCCTAGAAACAGGTAAAAATGTGAAAATTACAGATTCTGAAGCAAGTAAGCCAAAAGATGAGCAGGACGCCGTTGCACAGAGCCCGGAGAAGGAAGCCAAGGACTATGAGATGAATGTGAACCATAGAGATGGTAAGAAGGAAGACTGCGTGAAGGGCGACCCTGTCGAGAAGGAAGCCAGAGAAGGTTCTAGGAAAGCAGAATCTGGAGACAAAGAGAAGGATTCTTTGAAGAAAGGGCCCTCGTCTACTGGGGCCTCTGGTCAAGCAAAGAGGTTTGTTTTTCTATGTCAGTTCTTTACGATACTGAATTCCAGCATTCAATAAGATCGCTCTGCATTAAGGGGGTGGCTTCAAGACCGTGTACAGTAATTAGTTCTTATGTTCCTGCCTATAATATTTTTGACCGTCATAAGTTACTTTTTAAAAAATTCAAGATCTTCATAATATGCAGTGTGTCCTCCTGATTGCTTTGTCAAAATTGTCAGCATATATTTGGTTTTTTTGGTTGTTTTTGGTTTTTTTTTTCCCAATTGACAATTTTTTTTGTGTTTTATTTTTAAAAATCCTTGTGATGATGGTTAATGAACAACTGTCGGTTCTAAGAACACAAAATGAAGCAAGTCCCAGTCCTGAAATCTGGAGAAGATGGCCATTTATCCACTGAATAGAATTGTCAGAAAAATCTAGATCTTCAGGCATCTTGGGAAAATATCAGTGCAAGAACCCTAAGGGGTCACTTGGTCAAATACCCTAACCTGGGCTTTTGGAATCGTTCATTTGTATCAATAGTGCTACTTTGCAGTATAGTCACTGTGGAGCTGCTTGTGTTTTTGTTTTTTTGTTTTCAATTTTCTTCTGGTGATTTGCCTCTCTCTTTAGCTCTTCAAAGGAATCTAAAGACAGCAAGACATCGTCTAAAGATGACAAAGGTAAGGGATGGGTTTTTTTTTTGATGTTTTTCCTGTTTGTTTCAGTGATTATGTTGCCTGTTGTTACTAGAAGAGTTGCCTGATCCCCTCTGACCCTGTGGTCCTAAAAGTTTTACAGACTGAAAATGATGGATGGTCTCTGTGTACTGTGAAGTTAGATTGCAGCACACTCTGATTAAATCGTTACCCTTTGCTTTGTAAACTGGTGTGAATGTGTTAAAAACGCATTTGCTAGAGAAATTTATTGTGTACTAAGCAGTTTATCACATATTGGTAGATACTTCGTTTTTCTTACATTATAATTTCAGAAACATGTTCAGTTGTAGTCTAACCTCCTTTGCTGCCCTGACCCATGCTGTCTAGAACATCTTCTAGTAGTACTTGTGTACATTTGTGGGGCTAATGTTAAAAAGAAAAAGCAGTCTCTGTCATTTGGTTTACTCTCTTCATCCTTGAGCTTATTCTGTTAATAAACACAATAAACAATATTTTAATGCTTAAGAATTTACTTTATGCTTTGACTTCCTAATTTTGAGTTGATGGTTATCTTGTATAGGAAAATTATTCTACATTTTTGTATGTTTTAAGATGGCAGTATTTGATCATGTTTGCTATGGGAAAGTCTGGTTATCCCATGCCGTGAGTGATGGAGTTTCATCTTGTACACGCACTGAGACTGCAGTAGGGAAACACACCGTTCCGGTCCTGCTGAGGAGAGTTGTAGCTGCCCTTTCTAGTTTTAGTATGTTTGTTCCTGTGTTAGTAGTTGGAGATTATAGTGACTTGATGTTGCAACTGACAGTGGTAATACTCACATTCCGTACAGTTTGGGTTAAGAGTAAGATACAGAAAGCTTATAAAATTTAATCATTTAAATTTAGTACTCTTGGTTAAATAACACTTATTTACTATCATTCAATATTGTTTTTCTTTTCTGTAATTAGATAAGTACCTGGGTGCAAATTGTACTGGAAATACAAAAAAAATACACAGAATTCGAGTTAACATTGTGTCTGATAAAACAGGTCATTTGATGAACGTCCTTAAGAATAGAAAAGCACCATCTCACAACTTATGCAGTTGGAAGTATATAAACACGTTTATTTCCTCAATAGTCACATTGTATATTTCTGTTTGATTTTAATAGCACATTCATAACATTTCGAATATAGTAAGGTCATGTTATCAAAACTGAAAGGATTTTGTAGTTTGAAAGAACACTGTCTTCGGGGCTGGGGATTTAGCTCAGCGGCAAAAGCGCCTGCCTGGCAAGCGCAAGGTCGTGAGTTTGGTTCCCGGTACCGGAGAAAAAAACCAAAAAAAAAAAAGAACACTGTCTTCATAATTTCACAGAAAACTTTTTGGTTAAGGTATTGAACCTTCTGATACTCCGTGTGTTCCAGGAAGCACAAGCAGCGCCAGTGGTAGCAGTGGAGGCTCCACTAAGAACATCTGGGTGAGCGGGCTGTCTTCTAACACCAAAGCTGCTGACTTGAAGAACCTCTTCGGCAAATATGGGAAGGTATATTCTTTGCACTTTTGTACGCATCTTTCTCATGTCTGCGTTTGAAGTAGATTATGTTCAGAACAGCACTGTGGAAGTAGACTGACTTCCTGCGTCTGTTGGGAGTGTCAGGAGGGATAATTGCTGAGCTCCTAGGGAGCGGTAGCTTAGGGTTAGGGCTAAGGCTGAACGGTGCTTCACACTTCCTCTCATTCTGGGTCCTGGGGGTCTTTGCACTCCACACTGAAACCCCTGCTAGCCAAAGATGTAGTTTCAATGTTTTGCTTTTTTTTTTTTTTTTCCTAGTAGCTAGCTGGGGTTTGACACATTTTTGTACCTTAAAATACAAGTAGGCTAAGTTTAGGCAATAGGAAATGCAAGTTGGGAAACAACTGATCCTTGTTAGAGAGATTCCATTCCACTGATGGAGAAAAGTGTTAAGATGGGGTGTGTGTGTGTTTGTGTGTATTTAATCATAAATTAATCCTGAATGCTATGAAGAAAAAATGTCAGGTGTTACGAGAGAAAAGGCTTTACTACAGCTCACTTATCAGGAAAGATTTCTCTGGCATTTAAGGAGGGACCTAAAAGAGGAGGAGGAAGAAGAAGAGTATTCAGTGAATTGTTGCATTGGACTGCAAGTTGGTCTGTGTTTCTAGGACTCTAAATAATTTGTGCTTAATATGATAGGTATGAAAAACTAAATGAATTAATATTTCAGTATAAGCTTTTGTAAATTTTTTTTTTTTTTTTTATGAGGCAAGATCTCACTGCAGTTCAGGGTGGCCTTGAGCTCATTTCATAGCTCAGGCTGGCCTTGAACTTGCAGCGATCCTCTTGTCTCAGCCTCCTGAGTGCTGGGATGACAGGTGTGCACCACCACACCCAGCACTCTGATAAACTGTGTCAGATATGGAACACGGAGAGTTTTAGTCCCATAATCAGCTGTAGTATATCCTTTTTTGGCTTTTTGAGGTGTTTTTTTTTTTTTTTTTTTTGGCTTTTTGAGACAGGGTCTCATTATACAGTTCAGGCTAGTCTTGAACTCACTTTATAACCCAGGCTGGCCTCGAATTCGAACTTGCAATGCTCCTCCTGCCTCAGCCTCCTGAGTGCTGGGATTATAGGCATGTACCACCACACCTGGGAATATATCCTTTTTTATTCTATTTTTAATAGTTAAAAAAAATATTAGAGCAACTTTTTTTCTTTTTTGACCGGGAGTTGAACTCACGACCTCATACTTGCCAGGCAGGCGCTGTGCCTCTGAGCTGTCTCTCCAGCCCCCTAGAAAATACGTTTAACTTTGGTATTTATTGGGCCTAAAGCTGTAGAAAGGTGCCATGCACTTGGTAACGTGATGTCAGGCTGGAAACTTGAATTGCCGTGTGTCAGATCAGCCTCTCCCTGAGCTGAGATGGAACCTGGTCATTGCTCGCCACACACACTGCCAGTAAAACCCCTAGGGCTCCTTGCTGTCCCTCCCCGGGGTCTGTCTGTGCCCTGCACTGGGCTCTGCTTACTCTTCTTTCTCATGCATCCCTGCTCCCTAACCATCGCCCTATAGAACTGAAAATCTTTGTTACTTTTATAGTGATAAAAAAAATTTGAAAGCATTAGATGGAAAGTGTTGTCTTTTAAGTTCGGTGGTGTGCTTTTCAGTGTGTGTGTGTGTGTGTGTGTGTGTGTGTGTGTGTGTGTGTTTCTTCTGTGACAGGTTCTCCTGTTGTAGTTCAAGCTGGCCTGGAACTCACTATGTATCCCATGCTGGCCTAAAACAACAGTCCTCCTGCCTCAGCCTCCCAAGTGCTGGGATTATAGGCACCAGCCTAAATTGGTTTTTGATATGTTAGATTGCTACCCTGAGTACTTAGGTGATTCACATTGGCCAGGCAAATGATGGTTACAAGAATACGAAACGGGCCGGGAATGTCGCTCAGTGGCACAGTGCCTGCTTGGCAAGTACAAGGTCCTGAGTTCGATTCCCCATACCAAAAAAAAAAAAAAAAGAAAGAAAGAAAGAATATGAAACAAAGTAACATACCTGGAATTGATCCTGCATGAATATCTTGTGTCTTGTTTTTGAATAGCATCAGTTGTAAAGTTTTATCTGTTTGCAAAGTGTGCAGCTGTAACACTGGAGATTTCCTCAAGTGCCTGCTCTTTTCATAGGTGCTAAGTGCAAAGGTGGTCACAAACGCCCGAAGTCCTGGGGCGAAATGCTACGGCATCGTCACCATGTCTTCAAGCACAGAGGTGTCCAGGTGCATTGCGCATCTTCACCGCACTGAGCTGCATGGACAGCTGATCTCCGTGGAGAAAGTAAGCTTCCTTAACAGCATGTAACGGGAGCTTCATGTGATGACTGATAAAGGTTGAGCGTCCCTAGTCTGGTAGTCTAAAACGAGAAGCTTTTTTAGTATTTTGGAGTCAGGGTCTCACTGTGCAGTTCAGACTGGCCTTGGACTCACTGTGTAGTCCAGGCTGGCCTTGAACTCCCATCAGTCTGCCTGCCTTAGCCTCCCAGGTGCTACGATTTTAGGCGTGCACCACTACAACGGGCCAAAATCTGGAACTACTTTTATGAGACATAGTCTTACCATGGAGTTTTTATTGACAGACATTGAGGAGCCCAGGCTATCCTCAAATTCTTGGTGATCCTCCTGCGTCAGCCTCCCAGGTGATGAGATTATAGGTGTGTGCCACCATGCCCAACTAAAATCTGAAACTTCTTGAGTGTCAGTAGTGTTCAGAAAGTTTTGAACTTTGAAGCATTTTGAATTTACATTTTCAAATTAAGAGTTCCCTTCTGGTAGAGTCTGGAATTTCCCAAACCTGAAATCCTCCTGCCCCAGCCAGTTTGGATGGAAGATGTTTTAACCTGTATCCTCAACTGAAAGAGCACTGGCAGGAAGGAGAACTAAGTGATTTTTATGTGTTAATTTTTAAAATTTATTTCCCTACTTTTTTATCTCTACCAAATTTATTGCTATCAACCCACTTATTTTCTTAATATTTTTATTTTTTTGGTCTTACTGAGACAGGGTCTCGCTGTGCAGTTCAGGCTGGCTTTGAGCTCACTTTGTAGCCCAGGTTGTTCTCAAACTCACAATGGTGCTCCTGCCTCAGCCTCCCGAGTGCTGGGATTACAGGCGTGCGCCACCACGCCTGGCCCTGCTTTTAATAATCATAAAAAACATAACTTTAAAATTTATAGGTTTTTTTTTTCTGGTTTAAACCTCAGGTGAAAGGTGATCCTTCTAAGAAAGAAATGAAGAAAGAAAACGATGAAAAGAGTAGTTCAAGAAGTTCTGGAGATAAAAAAAATATGAGCGATAGAAGCAGCAAGTAAGTATTTTAATTTCGGGGGTGTTGCAAGAAGAATTTCTTTAAAAGAAGCAGCTAAGACTTTCTGGAGCCCTCCTGAAGTGGTTCTCAATCTGTTTTCTTGTCTGGGCTGATATGGTCAGAATACAGATGTCTGTCAAGAAAGAAGAGAAAAGATTATCCGAAAAGTCTGAGAAGAAAGAAAGCAAGGATAGTAAGAAAATGGAAGGTAAAGAAGAGAAGAATGACAACGGAGCAAGCAGCCAGACTCTGGACCTGACTAAAAAAAGTGAAGAAAAGAAACGAATAAGTATGCTGAGTCTTCTCACATCCCCCCTCTCCCCTGTTTCTGATGCACTCAGCAAGGTCCTTTCTGTATTGGTGGGGCGCCCTGGGCTGTGAACCCCATGACTGTCCAGACTCGGCGTGTGCGCGGCAGAGAGGCGGAGAGGACCTCGAAATCTCCTCCACTCTGCTCTTGAGAGACCGGTGTGCGCAGGCCGGGGTCTGGGAGAAGGGCGAGCTGACCCAAGACCGTCACGATTTGTCGACCTGAGTTAGGGTCTTCTGGTGGTCATTGAAAGTATTTACGTTAGCAGATTGAACTCATTGGAACTCAGAATAAGGAGATTTATTTTTAATTTCCTGTTACTTGTTTGTGAATGGATGAGATTCGGTGTTTTTACATACGTGTGTATTTTCTGTCTCTCTCTCTTTCTCTCTTGTAGGTTCGAAGAGTCCAGGACATATGGTAATATTAGACCAAACTAAGGGAGACCACTGCAGGCCGTCAAGAAGAGGAAGACATGAGAAGGTGAGTCTTGAAGGTGTTAAGCAAGGTCTCAGCTGTTTGCAAGAGACGTCTCTGTGTAAACATCTTCCCTGCTGGGGAATGAGAGAAAGGATGCAGGGGGCCGGGGATACAGCTCAGTGGCACAGGCGCCTGCCTAGCAAGGGCGAGGTTGTGAGTTCGATTCTTGGTACCACAAGAAAAGGAGAAAAGGGTGCAGCGTGTTACTTGAACTTCTTAAATGACTGCTAAACTTGAAAAGGAAACTCAGAATTTGCTCCTGCTTGTCTTCCCTTCCTTCCCGTAGGTTCATGCAAGGAGCAAAGAAAAGGAGAGGGCGAGCCTGGACAGAAAGAGAGACAAAGACCACCGGAGGAAGGAGATCTTGCCTTTTGAAAAGATGAAGGAACAGAGATTGAGAGAACATTTAGTGCGTTTTGAAAGGCTGCGGCGAGCGATGGAACTTCGGAGGTAGGAAAAGCGTTTGTTTTATGCCTACCTTTAAGTGTGGGTACATTTTCACAGTGGCAGCCAGCGTTTTAGAAATGGCATTCCCACAGAGGACTGCCGCTTTCCAGAAGGTGGTACCATCTAATGCTTTCAGTTTGCATAGCACTTTGCGTCTTTACAAAGTGCTCTTCCATCTCTTACCTCCAACTCTGTAGTGTAGTATTCAGTACAAAAATACAGGCCCAGGGAGGCGAAATGTCTGTCCCAGTGCCACAGGCCAGTGAGTGGCAGAGTTGAACTCAGATGCAAGTCTTCGGACTCCAAGTCCAATGCTCTTTCCTCTGCTCCAAAGCTGCTGCCATCAAAACATGACCGTCAAGGAAAAACTGATTCTTAGTTGAAAGTAAGCAACAGTGTTCATGCAGATACCATGCAGAAATTTTAACAAATTTAGCAAAAAATATATTGTTCTTCGGATCAGTGCCCAACTGAAGGAAAATTTGTGCTGTGAGACTCATTTATCCAAACTCTACCCTCAAGCAGGCATTCTCTGAAAAGAAAGCAAAAACCCAGAAGAGTTCTGTTTTTAGTGACAGAATCTCAACTGATCATCATGAGTTGCATTTTACTGTCACCTGTATCCATTTTTCAATGTCACTTGAAACATCGCTGTGAATGTTTTATAGTATATTTTTCTAAATGTTAACCGCCTTGCCCACTTGGAAAATTTCAGGGACCTCTACCAAAGAGAGATGTTTTTAGCAGCTTAGGTCAGTAATCATCATACAGCTTTAGCCAAAGGAAATAATCCTGCTCAAGACCCACACCCGCCCTTTAGACAAGCCCCACTGTGCTTACCTCATATTTAATTCGCAGCCTGCGGCAGTGATTCTCACAGCTTCAGATACTGCCTGTGTCATTTTATATTTCCTTTTTTTAAAAATCTGTTAATTAATTTATTTTTTGTTTTGTTTTGTTTTTCTGGTACCGGAAATGGAACTCACGACCTCACACTTGCCAGGCAGGCGCTGTGCCACTGAGCTAAATCCCCAGCCCCTTATTTATTTATTTATTATTATTATTTTTAATTTTTATGTATGTGTTGCTGGGGATCGAATCCAGGGCCTTGTGCACGCAAGGCAATAGCTCTACCACTGAGCCACATCCCCAGCCCTGCCCGTATCATTTCAGAGTGTGGGTCCTGCTGTGTTGTCCAGGCTGACCCTGCACTCCGGGGCTTAAGGGATCCTGTTGCCTCTGCTTCGCCAGTAGCTGGGACTATGGGCGAGCACCATTGTATTTGGCCTGCTGTTCTTGTTTTTTTGGTGTGTTTTGTTCTGTTTTGTCTTTTTCTGCTGGCCTTTTAAATGAGAGCTGCAGTGCTCTTTTCACTCTGCTGAAATAAAATCCCAGAAAACGGTATGACTTAACTCTTAACACCAAGAACTAAAGTAATGTGTCACGAAGTACGTGCTCCACAGGTGGATGTGAGGGCAGGATGTTACCTTAAGAAGACCTAATGCAGTCGTTCTGCATTTGTGCCCTTTAGACTCACTGCGAACGTGGGAGCTGTAAGTACAGACTGACACTGGTGTGTCCCACTGTGAGTCGGGTGCCAGGGCTCATACTGATAGCACGCTGTGGTTTGTGAAGTGCTAGGGTACTTAACGCAAACTAGCCTCGCTTTCACATTCACACCTTGTTGTTACGACTGGTTTTGAACCCAAAGCCTTGAACTGTATTTTTCAGAGATGCACATACCTTTTTTTTGTTTTGGAGATAGTCTTGCTGAGTTGTCCAGGATAGCTTTTTTTTTTTCCCCAGGTTATTTTGAGACAGGGTGTCACTGTGCAGTCCAGGCTGGCCCGGAGCTCGCAATGATCCGCCTGCCTCAGCCTCCCACCTGCTGGGATTACAGGCGTGCGCCACCACGCCCGGCCTTCTGTGCCACAACCTGGGCCTCATGCTCATTCCTGTAATTAAAACGCTGCAGCAGTTTCCCCGGAAGTAAAATGGATGTGTTGAGAACCACGGGGGGCTGCTAGAGGAAGATGTTGATGGACAAAAAAGCGTCTTGACTGCCTGAGGGTCAGGAAGTAGGAGAAGTGCCGTGAAGAGCCTGGTGTGGTCATTCAGGGCAACAAGCGTAGGAACTGCCTGTGATTTGAGCACACGTTACCAGGAACCCGGGAGCTCCGAACGAGCCCTCTAAGGCATTGTTATGTGTAGCCTCTGTAATACTTGTCGGTTATAGTCAGAATCCCAGACCTTCAGAACAAAGTATGTTACCGTATTTAAGGAGATAAAAAAAGTTACACACTGGAAAGTTTTCTATCCAAAACAATTGATTAGAAAATACAGCTTATAAATTCATATATGTAGAATATATTTTTTCTTAAAGTGTTAATTAATGGGCTGTTACAGTGGGCGTTTGTTTAATCAGGAATCATCTTAAAGGCAACTACTCTGAAAATTGAGCTGCTCAGTTGGGAGTCTTATAGAAAGTGACAGTAATGATTGTTTCAAATTTTATTTTGAATTCTCTTTCCCAGTATATTAAAACTATAGAGAATAAGTTGAAGTTTAAAATTGCCATCCTCAAGGAATAATTCAAACTCAAAAGCTCTTCTCTTTCACACACTGCCAGCATAATTTAAGTATTTCTAAATACTGATTTTTGTTAGACGAAGAGAGATTGCAGAAAGAGAGCGTCGAGAGCGAGAACGATTTAGGATAATTCGCGAACGGGAAGAACGGGAACGCTTACAGAGAGAGAGAGAGCGCCTAGAAATTGAAAGGCAGAAACTAGAGAGAGAGAGAATGGAACGCGAACGCTTGGAGAGGGAACGCATTCGTATTGAACAGGTGCAGTCAGAACATCTTTTCCTCTTCAATAACTCGCCTCCTCCAAACCCTGTGATTTTGCCCTGAAACTTGCTTTACTTATTGTAAAGCCTCTGTGGAATGAATTCAGCCAATGAGCTTTTAGGTGTCCCCGAAAGATTCTCAGACACTGAAAGCGATCCCACGCTAGTCACACAGGCACCCAGCAGTGGGTGACTTCGTTGGAGATCATTGGCAGTGACTCCAGCTCCTCGATGTCACAGCAGCCGGACAGTCTGAGCACAGGACTCTGAGTCCAGAGTAGTTGCAGTCAGGCCCTGCCCCGGGCTCCGTCTGGGGAAGAGTTGTGGTGGGGATGATCCCCAAGGCTGGCGGGAAGAAAACGATGCCTCTCTGCCCAGTTGCAGCCCAGTGTTGAAGGCACTCACGCCTGATAGGCATGGAGAACGCTGTTCCTAATTCTCTTCAGATGCTTCCATGGAATGAAATGATGAAACGCAGTCCGACCTTCCCGAATACGTAGCCGCTTTCAGCACCCAGCCCCTGCTGTTTTTTAGTGATCAGAACCACATCTAGCTGCAGTCTAGATGGCTGACATGAAAACCACTCGCTGCAGGCGCGCTGTGGCCTGCTGCTGGCCCGTGCCGGCGTCTTAGCGTAGGACTGCGTAACGCCGGGTGCACTGTGCTTACCTTTCGTCTTCACTCTGTATTGGTCGGTGCTCTTCCTTCTGTGTCTGAAGGAGCGGCGGAAGGAAGCGGAGAGGATCGCTCGGGAGCGAGAGGAGCTCCGAAGGCAGCAGCAGCAGCTCCGCTACGAGCAGGAGAAGAGGAGCTCCCTGAAGCGGCCCCGTGACGTAGACCATAGGTAGCCACCCGCTTCTTCCCTCGCAGCGAGGCTTAGCACTGGTCCCCGGAATGAGCAGGTGCAGGTTCCTGTCCCCGGAGTCCAGGTCCTGGCCAACAGCAGGGTCAGGGGACCGGGAGAACCCTGTGCAGGGTGCAGCAGGAGCAGCTTTTCTTTCCCAGTTTCCTTCCCGAATGCCAAATGGTTTCCCTTGTGACTGGAATGCACAGTCATAGTAGGTTCTCACAGTGGGTCTCAGACTCGGGCCAGCTGCAGCTTGTATCAGCACGGCAGGCGGTGTGAGGAGGTGTGAGGAGTGGAAGTCGAGAGCTTGGGGGAGCGCAGTGCGTCCTGGTGCGTGCGCGTTCGTGTGGGTGAGCGTCTCCTTCAGGGTCCTCCGTAAGCCATCCAAGCGGCTGGGGCCTGGGGCCGGGGAGTGGCGTAGTGAGCTCAGGACTCGCGCCTCTCTGAGCCTCCAAAGCGAGAGGGCGCGGAAGCGGTTTTGGACCGCCAGTCGGAAGGTGGTGTCCAGGTCTCCATCGCATGTTCTCCACATAGTGATGTGAATGCAGGGGTTCGTTTTTTTCACTTTCTCTCTTCTGTTTAAATTCCCCTCACATCATACGACCGCGCGTGGTGTAGCAGTCTCTCGCTAGCCCGCATCCCTGTCCGAGCATGTTGTACCTTGAGTTCAGTAGCCTCTTGTGTCCACAGTTCTAGCACTTGGTATGTACGATTCCAAGTGAGTGCTGTTCGATTATTGTAAAAGTAACTTACATAAATGAGCAAAAATTTCTCTTTAAGGCGCGATGATCCTTACTGGAGTGAGAATAAAAAGTTGTCTCTAGATACAGATGCCCGATTCAGCCACGGATCTGACTACTCTCGGCAACAGAACAGATTTAATGACTTTGATCACCGGGAGAGGGGCAGGTTCCCGGACAGCTCAGCGGTGCCGTCCTCCTCTTTCGAAAGGTGAGCAGTCGCTGTGGCAGTGTGTGAGCCTCGGTAGTGAGAACTCCGGTTCTTGAGTAAAATATTAAACAGGTCAGCTAACCCGGCCACGGGGTGACTTTATCATCTTCCGTGAACACTGAGTGGGCACTTGGCTTTGGGTGTGCTTCAGTTGTTACGGACAGTAAAACAAACTCGGCATAGTAGCACACACCTGTAATCCCAGCAACCTGGGAGGCTGACGCAGGAAGATGGCAAGATCGAGCCTAGCCCAGGCCACTTAGGAACTTAATGAGACCCTGTGTCTAAGCAAAGAATAGAAAGGATACAGCATCCAGTCCCCAGTACTGAAAGAAAAGACAACAGTAAAACATGAAATCTTAAAGGTGGTTGTAACTCGAGTGTTTCAGGTTATTTCTCCTTAATGCTAAAACGCCAAACTTCATGCCAGACGTTTAGCCTAAGTTGGGAGGAAATAATTAGGTGTAACTTTGAGCCTCATGTGGGCAACTAGTGAGACCCTGTCCCAGTAAACGAGAGGAGGGTGGGGATATAGCTCAGCACTGAAAAAAGTCCTGAGTGTAGCCTTTTCTGTGGCCATGCTTTAAATTCCTTTTTAAAGGAAAGTGTGATTGTAGGTTATATAGCCACTTCCCCCATTGCAATGAGCTGTCTCATTGCTGAATGAGGAGGTGTGCATAGCATATACATTACAATGTTCAGAACAAAGAAATGGCCACGGGAAACTCCAGCTTGATGACTTTTTTTTTTGTCTTGAGAAAGTCTCACTATGCAGTTCTGGCTGACCTTGAGCTCACTTTGTAGCCCAGGCTGGTCTCAAACTCGGAGTGATCCTCCTTCCTCAGCCTCCTGAGTGCTAGGATTACAGGTGTGTGCCACCACGCCCGGCAATGACTTTGCTTTTATTTACCTAACTGTTTCTTGCAGTGCTGTAGTGTATAACAGAACATAAAGCCACAGTACTTTGCAGTCAGCAAAAATTGCAGTGCAGTGTGAACAGCATGTAGCTACAAGGTGGACAGGACAGGGCACTGGGGCTGTGGAAGAAGGTGTGCGGAACTGCACTCAGCGTGAAATGAAGGCCAAGCCCCGCGACCAAGCGCTGCACGGGCAGTGAGCCGCGGACCCCGCAGTACCCAAGTCAGAAGCACGCGGCCCGGGCGAGTTCGGACCTGTGCTGTTTCTCACCCCTAGGCGGGAACGCTTTGTTGGTCAAAGTGAAGGGAAGAAAGCGCGACCCACTGCGCGGAGAGAGGACCCTGGCTTTGAGCGATACCCCAAAAACTTCAGCGACTCGCGGAGAAACGAGCCTCCTCCGCGGAGCGAGCTCAGAGACACGGACAGAAGAGACGTGCGGGGCGAGCGGGAGGAGCGGAGGACCGTGATCCTGCACGACAGGCCGGACCTGGTGCCCCCGAGACACCCCCGCGAGGCCGGGCCTGCGCCGTCCAGGCCCGCCTCCTGGAAGGGCGAGGGCAGCCTGGCCGCCGACAAGCGGGACTCGAGGTGCGGGTGCTCCGGGGTGTGGGGCGGGCTGCCGCGGGCGGGGCCGGCACGCTCACGCGCTGTGTGTTTCAGAGTGGAGCGGCCCGAGCGCTCCGGCAGGGACGGCCCGGGGCACGGCGTGAGGGGCGCTCCCCCCGGGGGTCGCAGCAACGCTTCAGGCTACGGCAGAGAGAGCGACCGCGGCGTCCTCGCAGACAGGGGAAGCGGAGCCCAGGTCAGTGCGGCGCGGGGCGGCTCCAGAGGGCCTGTGCGGGCTGTGCGGCCGCTCCGTGCGGCACGCGGCACCGACCCGGCCGGCCGGCTGTGGCTGGCTCCCGCTAGGCCAGAGAATTACAAGCGTCTTCCCTCCTTCCTGTTGTAATTCGACAATTGTTTGGTAAATGACCTTTCCTAATGGGGCCATGGCGTGCGGGCACATGCCCGTAACCCCAGCACTAGGGAGGCTGGCAGTTCACATGAGTCAGAAAATAGGAGCCCGGTCAGTTCCGGTGTACAAGCCAACAGCAGCACCAGCAGTGCCTTTCTGTACATGTCACACAAGGGGAGTCCTGGTGGGGGCTGCGCTGTACTTGGGAGTGTTGTACCTCGGATTTCCTAGCAGCGGTTCGGACAGGAAACTGTCCCGTCTCAGCTTTCTAGCTGAGAGAGCACTGTGCATGCTCCATCCAGCATGGGCCGAGACGGGCCCGGGGCTCGCGGCTCCCTACCCGTTACGGGGGTCTGGCGGCTGGGGACCCTGCGCCCTGCTTCACATGGGCTTTCGGCAGAGGCGTCCCCAGTCTGTACATCTGCGCCTGGCTGTGGCATTGTGGGCACCTTTGGCCTCCGTGTTGTCCTCTTAGTGCCGTGGCTTTTGTCCTGTGCACGCCCCTCTGCTCTCCAGAGGCCGGCGGAGCGCGCCCCAAGCACCGCCATTCGTGCCGCACAGAACAATGGCTGGAGTTTGTTTTTTTCTTGTTTTTGTTTGAGAGGTTTTGTTTTGTTTTGTTTTGTTTGTTTTTTTCTGTGGTATTGGGGATTGAACCCAGGAAGGCCTTTGCAGTGAACTGTATCCCAGTCCATTTTGTTTTTTATATTGAGACGCTGCCCGTTTTGGGTTCGTCCTCCTGATCCGCCTGCCTGTAGTGCCAGGACACTTACTGTGCGTGCTGTTTGCTGTTGTCCTGGCAGGTTGCTGCTATGTGCCATCCTGATTGGTCCTAAGGTTTTGAATATATATAATCTTCTTGTGTATGGATCCAGCGTTTGAAATACTTAGGGCGGAAACGTGCTGGGTGCTGGGTGCTGGGAGGCGGAGACTAAGCGTGAAGGTCGGGCATCACCTCCCGCGGGCCCTGCTCTGAGGCCTCCGTGGCTGCTCCCTGCAGAGCAGTTGGGAGCCGAGTTCCTGGCCTGTGCCGTCCGCACTCACCCTTCCTTACCTGGCCAGTGGTCCTTTGCTCCTAACACCGGAGCGACCAGACCAGTGTGTCCTCGGCGTGAGCCTGGGTGTGCTGACGTCTCCCTGCTCTCCTGCAGCACTACCCTGAAGAACGACACGTGGTCGATCGCCATGGACGGGACACAAGCGGACCGAGGAAGGAGTGGCACGGGCCACCTTCCCAAGGGCCTGGCTACCACGACACCAGGCGAATGGGCGACGGCCGGGCCAGCGCGGGCATGATGAGCCAGCACGCGAGGTGAGGCGCGGCGTGGGAAGAGCACCCCGCGGCCCCGGGGAGAGGGAGGTGTGAGCGGAGGCAGGGTCGCCCCGCGGCTCCGGGAGAGGCGGGGACCGAGCTGTGTCGGGCTCGGGGTCCAGCGGGCCCTGGGCGGTCACCTGTTGGATGGCGCCCTTCGCTGGGCAGTGTGGCCGGGTTCTG